TTGTTTAATTTCTCGTTTTTCTTATTTCTTTTCTTTTTCCTCTAACAACTGCTGCAATTTCTCTTCTTGTTTCTTTTCTTTTTCCTCTAACAACTGCTGTAATCTCTCTTCTTGTTTAATTTCTCGTTCTTCTTGTTTCTTTTCTTGTTTATTTTGTTGTTCGAGCTGCCATTGTTGCAGGTTTTCTTGCAACTGCTGTTGTCTCTCTTCTTGTTTCTTTTGCTGTTTTTGTATTGCTGCCATCAAATCTGCTAAACTGTAGTATGATTTGCTGCTTCTTGTTTCCATCTTCTCATTTTCTTCTTCTTCTTTTTTTTTATCCCACTTTCTTACACCAATTTGTTACGCCTCCAGTCGTTAATTGATTTTCCGTAACTTAGTTCTGACGAAACTTTAGCGACTCAAGTCCTTACTTAATAAAACTGGTTTATTCTTTCCGAATATAACTTTACGATACACTTAATTTCAACAATCACGCTAAAACAAACGTTATAACAACGAACGTGCTCAATAATACTCTCTGACTGCAGATCAATTACTCACTGTCTACACACACACAATGTCACGTCACGCCGTGACCATCTTATATATACCAGGCAACCCCCCACCCCAATCTAGTAAATGCTAGAGCACTCCCGAAGGAACGGGATAGTTCTAAAAACGTGGCGTGACACTAGTCATGTGACCTCGCTGACGCAACAATATATATCCCTGCCTTCTCAAATCACAGGGCATTTACACAAAGAATTCTGTACAGTGTGTGATGGTGCATATTTTCTCGAAGTGTTTTAAACAATGATGTATATTTCTTTCTATTATATTCCTAGAAACAAACATTTTTTATTATAATGTTAAAATTCTAAATTTATAAAGTGTATCCAGGTACTGACACTTCATCAAACTTATTTATCAGAAATGCTGAATCTGTACATTAAGTCTTTCTGGGTAAACCCCTGCCTCAATCTAAGTAAAGTCAAAAGTAATGTTACGTCTCCGTTTGTTAATTGATTTTCCGTAACTTCGTTCCGACGAAATTTTAACGTCATAAGTCTTTACTTAATAAAACTGGTTTATTCTTTCCGAATATAACTTTACCGATACACTCAACTTCAACAATCGCGCTAAACAAACGCTATAACAACGAACGTCAATAATACTTCTGACTGCAGTTCAATTACTCACTATCTACACACACATTACATTAATCTTCGCGCGTCACGTTTTCCCCCTCTTATATATACCAGCCTACCCTATCTTGTAAATACTAGAGCATTCGCCAAAGTACATGATAGTTCTAGAAACGTTGCGTCACAGTAGTCATGTGACTCGCTGACGCAACAGTAATTTGTCTGGTGGTGTAACTTTTCTTTTAGGGCCTGAAAATTTGCTTGGAAATTTTTTACTGTCAACTATATTTTTGCCAAAGTACACAAGCTTAGATACAGTTGGACCTAGAAATTTAAACAAAGATAAGAAGTGCAAATATGTAAGACCTCATTTTCACATCATTATCCTTTATTTTTTCAAATGTCATGATTGATAGTTCTTGTTTTGAAGACATATAGAAGAGAATATGTTTATATAAATGCAGTTTTTTAAATTCATTGCAAGTTTTGTCTGTGTAGATAGAAATTTAGTACATGGAACAACAGTCACATAAATTTTCTTTACTGATATTTAAGTGGTCTACACTTTTGGTGAATGTTGTGTCCAGTTCAGTAGCCTGATCTTCTAATATTTTTATAAAGTCCAATTTTAATAATTAGATATTAGTCATTTTAGATATTTGTGTATACATTTCTTAAAAAGTTTTTGCATAGAAGAGGATGAGAGGTATAAAATAATATTTCTTTTTCGAGCTTAGGAGCTGCAGAGAAAAGTTCAAAACATGGAGCTGAAGATAAAGCAAACAATATTATCATGGCCATAAAGGAGAGAATGAAAATTAGAGAAAGAGAAAAGCCAGAAGTATTTGAACTTATCCGGTTAGTGGAAATTTCAAAATCACCACTATAACTGTTGGTTACCACAGTTGTATCCAGAGCTTTAAGTAGTTCTCTCCTTTTCATCAAAGTCCACACAGAGTAGCCCAAGAGCTGGCAGTGGGTTCTAATGACTAGCTGCATTCCCTTTAGTCTTTGGCTGCTAAATTAGAGATGGCTAGTGTAGATAGCCCTCATGTGGCTTTATGAGAAATTCAAAACAAACCATTGCTCCATACAACATAGAAATATATATGAACTTTCAAAATTTTGGCTGAATGTGTTTCATTTTGCTAGATTGGCTCAGAGTTATTTTTGTGTTTATTTCATATAGGTTTTCTGGCACCCTAAATGGTGATATTAATTTAGAAAGTATAAAGTCTCAGTTTGATTGCTGTGCTATATTAGTCAAAAACGGCAATTTTCTACAGCACCAAATTTTATACATTTTTGTAGCTGACAGTAAAAAATATGATATGGATAATGAGTTATGACAGGAATGGCCATTTCCATCCATGATTACTATTATTTTTGTGATCTTTTTAAATTTCTAGTTACTCTGACTAAATAGGTGGCATTTGAAAGTTGTATGTACATTACAGCATAAGGGGAAAACATCTGACACTGGCACTGGTTGTCATAATTATTTGATGATCTCATATGCTGCAAGGCTAATATGTAACGTTGAATTAGATACAATGTATATGTGTTAATGCACATTTATGTTATAAGTGGACAAGAGTGTGCTTAATTATGTACATGAACTCAATGTTGGGGAATAGTATGTTCAGTTTATAGTCCTAATGTTCCTAAGCATGTGCCTTTAAGGTTGTGAGGATAATTTACATCACACCAAGTGGACCCATTGCTTTCAGTGGTATTGGTAAAGAAATAATTTGCAGTTGTGGAAATTGGAATATTCATAGAATTTACGTCTTCATTTTATAAGGTAAAATCATGATCAATACTTTGCTCAGATTGAAAGAAAGTATAGTGCATGTATTGATCTCCATTACATATATTTTGAAATGAGATTAATTTGTGGCTGAGTATTTCCGAATCTTGCAGATATTCTGAATATTTTTCTTAATATCATTTCTGAACAAGGTAAATGTTACTCCCAAATTCTCTGTTAACTACGTATTCTTGTGCTGGCTACAGAAATGTAATTCTGGACTCATGTGAAATCAGGAATGATTTTTACCTATTTATTCAGATGATATTTAGCTTTTTTAGCTGTAAAGTTGTTGTGAAGACAGTTTATGAAACCTTCAAGTTAAAAATGTTGGTCAATACTTGTAAAGTTGACATAATTTCTGTAATGTAGGAAACCAGTTTGCAATTCTTACATTCTTTATTTTCGGTACCTGAGCTTTACCTTAGCTACCAGACAATGATGGACGAAACTATGTATATGTGAAATAGCTTTACTTGCTGACTGGTAAGATAGTTGTCAGGGATGAAGTACTGTCAGGGCTCTGGTTAGTGCAGCTGTATGTATATGTGAAATAGCTTTACTTGGTGACTGGTAAGATAGTTGTCAGGGATGAAGTACTGTTAGGGCTCTGGTTAGTGCAGCTATATGTGCAATGTCCCCCAAAAAAAGCTTTGTGAATTAGGCATCCACAGGTGCTTGAGGCAGCAAAATCTTGACATAGAGGGTTGAGTGCATTCACCATTCCTCTCATGAGGAACAGCATGTACAGTACATTCAGAACAGTGACTTTTTTAAAACATTGATTCATGGCTTGATTAGCTGTACAAGCTTGCTTTAAATTGCTAGCTGAATCTCTCACCTATGAAAGGTTGTGTTGACTTGGAGCTAACGGTTCTGACACTCTCTGTAAAAACCATTATTCTTGGCCATTGGGTATCCTGTTTTTGATCTTTAAATCTTACCTATTTGTTCAATGAGACTGTAAAGGAAAACTTCCTTTTACTTCACTCTAGTACAAGAAACTGGTGAGTATACCCATCACTACAGGAAATAATTTCTATCTTAGAACCACATCAATGAAGACAAAGAAGGGTTTTTACCTTATACAATCCTACAGCTGCCAATTCAGCCACTTAAACTATTGTGTGAATCAAAGTTTTAATTATGATGGCCAAAATATATCCACCTGTCACTCTGGCCATAATAACAGACTCTTGTTACAATCATCACTAATTCCATCAGTGGGGATAATGGCTTTAGAGAAGCAGAAAAGTAAGCCCCCAGTGCTATGCACTATAGAGAGCTGCTTCATTTCCAGCAAAATCTGCAAGAAAGAGGATCATTTCTTCTCCAACCTCAACCACATTTTTTGGACTATTCAGATACCTTGGGGGGGGGGGGATTCTAAAAAGGAATCAGCCACTAAGATTTCAAGTGTTTTCATCACCCCAAACCTATGCTACCATCTATCTCTGACACACTGGGGGAAAATACAATGGAGAAATGGTGCCAACACTGCCAGGTCCAGGCTACCATGTGGATAGATGTACAGTCCTTGCAAAAGTATTCACCCCCTATCAATAATGTCACATTTTGATGAAATACAAATAATGTAAACAATGTTTTATGAACTTGTTTTTAT